GGCTTCTAAAGGCCGCATCAGAGGCAACGACTGAACCAGCTATCACTTAGGGCCCCACAGTCACTGCGAGTGGCCTTGTGCGGGGCGGGGGGATCACACTAGTAAGAAACAGGTCAGTTTCCTCTGCAGAATTGGTTTTCAATAATACTCCATGAGAATTGTTTATGCAAAAGAATTTTGAGTAACAAATGCTAGAGAAATGATGCATTACTGTTTGTTTGTTTTTGTCCTTAAATCTGAATACTTTCTGGTGTGCAGCTTATGTGTTTTACTTGGTAAATACACATTGGGTAGGAAAATGATGTTTTGAAGACACCTCTCACCAAACCATGTTTATCAAATATAATCAAATTGAGTCTATTTTACTTTATTTTGGACCTCCTGCTTATTTAGATTCTTCCATTTAGCAGTGATTTTTAGATTCTGAATCCAGTTCTAGTATGTGACATAAAATTAGAGAGTGTTTATTAAGTTGGATTTGTAATTATTCAACTATCCCTGTGGTTGTCTCTGGAAATCAGTTTTAATATTAAATGTCATTAATGAGACTTGGGTCTAGGAATCTGTTTTACTCTATTTTCTCCCTAGACTGGTGATGGCTGAATTTTTCCTGCTGACTAACACTCTCTATCAGCCACCCCTCTATATAGTTATATCACCTCCACGATGTGGAAAACCTATTTCTAAATTAGACACCCTATTTTAAGCCAAGATATCAGAGGAATCCAATAGGAGAGACCATTAAAGGCAATGAAAACAATCTGATCAGAGACAGAAGTGAGAAAGTTCCTGGCTCTGTGGCTCCCTGATTATTGGCTGTATATGACTTTGAGTAACATAGCTAGATCCTCTAAGCTTCAGCTTTCATTTCTGCAGAATGAGAAGTGGAGCTCTGAGGGTTGCTATGAGGAGTAAATAAAATTATGCCTGGCACACCTTAAGTGATTAGTGAAGGCTACTTGCTGTCATCATCATCATCATCATCATCGTCATCATCAACATCATCATCCTCATTTTAATTTCAGGAGCACGGAGATGGGAATAGTTCCCACCATCAACTAAGACAAAGATGCTGCCCTTGCTTCTGCTGAGGCACCTGAAAGCCAGAGCCAGCTGATGACTCAGTCACTGTGCCTGCAACAAAATCCTAAGTGAGCAGAGAAGAAAGTGACTGGAGAAATGACAAATATTAGCTATAGGGGAAGAGGCCCACATTTGCATGAATAACAATTAACAACAGGGCAATTAGAACAACAGACAGGAAAATGACCCTGCTGTTCTGTAGGGTGCGATGTCATGTGTTCTTGTCAGTGTTTCCTGGGAGGATTTTAAACTCCCAGCAGACACCGTATATGCTTTTTTGAAAGCAGATCAAGGATAAGTAATGAATAAATAGATAAATAAATAGTATTTTGGGTACAGTGCCCAGCAAACAAGTGCTATGCCAATATCTTTTAATTTTTTTAAAGACTATTGCTGATGAAATGGAATGGAAAAGGAGAACATCTTAATTAATTAGGAAGATGCTTTTGACTGAATGGTGTCCCTCCAAAATTCATATATTGAAATCCTAACCCCCAAGGTTATGATGTTTAGCAATATGACCTTTGGGAGATAATTAGTTCAAGAAGATAGGACCTTCATGATGGAATTAATGTCCTTATAAAAAGAAACAGCAGAGAGCTTCCTTCCCAGACCTGTCAAGTGAGCATGGAGCAAGAAGGTGACCTCACCAGAAACTGACCATGCTGGCACCTTGAGCTTGGACTCTAGCTAGCTTCCAGAACCGTGATAAAATAAATTTCTGTTGTTTCAGCCATTCAGTCTATGATATTTTGTTATGGCAGCCGGGGCTAAGTGAGAGGGTTCTTTGCAGTCACTGATGATAGACACATTCCCTTAGGTGGGACAACGGAAAATGGATCCTGAGACCAAGGTGGTGGCCAGAGCCAGAGCAGTGGACTCCAGCTGGGCCCTACAGCAACACAGCTGAAAAGTCAGTCCCACTGCATCAGAATTACCCAGGATGAGTGTGAAGACTCCAGATTTTAAACACGTTTCCCAGTTGTTTCTGACAAGTAGCTGTGTGTGAGACCCAAGGGTTAAGTGGAACGAGTCATTCAGCTTTGGATTGAAACTGAATGACTAAAAAACCCAGATTTTACAAACAGACATTGCCAGGCATGAAGGCTCAGTTCATCCACTTTCTCCAAGAGACTTTATTTCTTCATATTGTAGAAAAGAGGTAATAGTGATGCTAACATTTGTTGAGGCCTGGCATCTTCTAGTCACTGTGTGTCTATCATACATTATTTCATTTAATTCTCACACCAAATTTTGGTTTTTAAATGAGGAAAATAAGACAGAGCGAATCTAAATGCTTACTGAAAATTCCAAAGCTGCTAAATGGCAGAGTTAGATGCAAATGCAGGCTTATTAGACGCCAGAGCTGCAGTTTCTGTGAGGGTTAGTTGTGTGAATTTTCAAGTGCTAAGCATGGTACTTGGTGTATAGCACTTGTTCAATAAATTGTTGTAGTTGTTGTTACCATTGTTGACTATCAATTATCTTTCTCATTGTTATTTAGGACAGACTTGGGGTTAGTGTGGATTTTATTGCAGGCTCTCATGGATTACTCGTGTGGCCTTACACCGTGGCCAAGGGCTTTCCAGAAAAAGTTTTTTCAACTTGTCCCCAGATGGAAACTAACCCTCATAAGAGATAACAGAGCAGTTAATTAAGCTATCTGATTTTGGAATCCAAAGGCCTGGGTTCAAATCTTGACTCTACCAGCCACTAGCTGTGTGATTTGGTCAAATGGCTTAACTCCTCTATGCCTGTTTTTTTTTCATCAAAAAAAAGTACGCTTAATAAAAATTCCTCCCTCAGAAAGTGGCTCTAGGAATTAAATAATTCTGGTAAAACAGCTAGTTGGGTGCCTGATAAGTACTCAATATGCAGTAGTTACCACTAATATTTTTTATTATCTTTCAGGAAACGTCTTTGACCTCTGTTACACAGCGGCTGACCCTGTGGCACAGGTGAGAACGTTTTAGGCTATAAGCCATCAAAGTCTGCCTTTGATTCTATTCTAGAATAAGAGAAAGTCTGAAACACAATTCACATGACCTTAGGTTATACAGCATAGCCCCCTAAACTTAGGCAGGATGGCACCCAAGGAAGGCCAAAGCATGTGCTCTGCTCCCTCACCCAGATAGCTGTTTCAACATTGAAGATCCATTTAGGGCCTGTCTCTTCCACAGCAAATCTACACTCACTGTTCAGCTGGCATTGAATCAGATTCTTGCCATATTTGTGAATAATGAACGAACTTCAAATACTACGTAATGGTCTCCTACACATAGGCACATCTCACTGAACAGACATGTGCTCTAGAGAATTTGAAGCTGTAGCAGTCTATGAATTGAACCAGAAAAATAATAGCTGAAATCGCACAGAAGCCGTGAGCTGCCATCATCTGGGGTTCCAGGTTTTTCCATCTTTAACTTTTATAGCTTGAAACATAAAGCTATTGATTAATAACGTATTAATAACTGCCACCATTTACTGGGAATTTACTACGTAGCAGGCAGCTGCTAAGTCCTACACACACACAGCTATTTCATTTAATCATTACTCTGTGAGTAAGTACTCCTGTTATCTCCACTGAAGAGACCAGGAAACAGACTCAGAGCTTAAATAATTTATATTAATACTAGGTTGCACAGCAGAAAATGTGACAGAGCCAGAAATAAAATCAGGCAGTTTGATTCCAGAACTATGAAACATTAATTATAGTTTTTTTCAGAAATTTTTCAAATACTTGATATTGAAAGTATGCTTTTTCCTAAAGTTTGATTTCTTATATTCGGAGACTTATTTCCTCATCTTTTGTGTTTATCAGGAAAGCCAGTGAATTGATCAGAGTCACTTTAAAATTTTGCTTTTAGACAAGCTTTGCCCAAACACATCCATTCCTTCAAGAGAGGGCTACCTGGAGCGCTGATATTAAGAAAAGATCATTTCTCTACATGGGCAGACGAATGGGGAGAGCTGACCAATTACCTCGAAAATACAACCGATGCCAGCAGGCAATAAGAATAATTAAAACCAATAAACTATTTCCTCTCAACTGCCGAGTTTAGTGTAGGGTTTTCTTTTTCTGTCTTTTTGTTTTGCTTTCCATTGGTTGTGCTTTCCAAATAATTGTTCCATCTGTCCACTTCACTTTGCCTGAGTAATCACAGCCAGAGGGCACTTAGAAGTCAAACGTCAGACATGCAGGGAAAACTAATGCGTGGGAGGCTGTGGGAAGAGAAATCGTTGTCTGTTCTCTTTCCCTGCAGCTGGGCCAGGGATCTGAAAGTAAATTATAAGCACCAGGTGCCCCAGGGAAGAAGCTACTGTTTGGGAATGGAAATGGAAGAGGGATTTGCTGGACTCCACTGTCAGGAGTGTTGGCTCCCAGGATCAAATGTGCTTAGCAATGAGATTAAGTAAAGAGATCACAGCAAAGCCAGAGATTAAAAGTGTGGAGACAGGAAATTAAAACCAGAATCCTGGAACAGCTTTTTCCTGTGCCATTTACTCTGAAGTAGGCCTCCTGCTGGTCACTGTATGTGCCTTATCTATTTTGATCCTCCCTGCAGTTCTACGATTTCACAGATAGAGAAACTAAGGCTCAGAGACAGCAGGTAACTTGTCCAGGACCACACAGCTAGTAAATGACAGACCAAAATTTGAACCCAAGTGTATCTTGATCCCATGCTCTTGCTCTTATCTACTATACCTGGCTACTCTAAACCAGGGATGATGACCAAGGGTGAAATAGAGTCCTAGAAAGGACAAAGGTGCAAAGGTGAGCCCAGATTATAAATACATGGATAATATGTATTACATGTCAAGATATTTTATATGCATTAGAGGCAAAATGCTTAGATTTAAAATCAATATAGAACTTCAATTTATAGAAGCACAGAAAGGTTTAGTAACTCACCTGAGGCCACAAAGCCAGTAAATAGGTTAGTGAAGAATTAAACCCATGTCTTTGAACCTGATCAAAGACTACACTCTTCAGCATATGAGGCACCTTCCTTTCTTTCATACTATTAACTTCCAGGTAGAGAGAGTTAGTTCAGCCTCTTATAAATTATCTTCTAGAGAATGGCGTGTTTCTAAAGATATTGAGTGAGAAATAAAAATAGGTTTGTAAAAATGTTATATTAAACAAGGTTAAGCAGAGTTCTAAAATCTAAGGTTTCTCCCTGTGTCTAATCTGCTCATGTCCATTGTAAATATCCAAGAGAAAGATGATAAGAAAGATGATAATGTTCCCAACTTAGTTGAACATGGAACCTTTTTTTTTTTTTTTTTTTTTTTAGATAAAGGCTGGCCAGTGCATCAACCATGGATAATGACTTGACTCCCATGTCTTTGCCTCTAAATAGCAAGATAGAGGTTTTTTTTTAAACACCAGCAATTACACTGTTTACTTCCTAATACCTATATCTTATGTAGGCTGGGCTACCAACTGGGGAAATGGGGAGGTCTACCTTGTTGCTCTCACACTGCCCTTTCAGGACTCCACTCCTGATTTTTATTCTAAATGCCTTAATGTGAACCATCTTTCCCAGGTATAGCTAGTCACATAGAGATTATTGCGTTTTGAATAAATATTAATAAAAAGTAATGGCTTCATTTGTTAACCCATTTTATTGACGAGCTCATGAAAAGGGAAAGTCAATGCAGAGAAATACCTCTTTGTGCTGGATTCTTAAACATGAGATCAACTTGTACCTTGGGAAATGGATAGTAGAGTTTTCCTTGTGCTAAAAGGACAGACCACAATTTACTCTGACTACAGATAAAGCTAGCACAAGGACAAGAGAGTTTCAGAGTATGATGTTGGGGGTGCAAATTGTAGAGGTAGGATGGTCTGGTGAGTTCGGTGAGATCACAAAGGAACCCTAGAACAAATTTTCAAGTAGACCCATATGGAAAATTTAAGATTAGGCAGCCATAGTGGTATAAAATTGAGGAAATTAATCTATAGTATTATGAAGAAAATGTGTTTTTTTCATATTCTCCTAAACTTTGTTACAGTAAAATAATGTCAGCATTTAGGAACCTTAAATGGAAGGTCTGACCTGGACCCAAGGGAAAGAGGAGGCATTGATGCCAGGGGCATCTCCACTGGTCATGCCATCGGTGGGATTCATACTCGATTAAGATGGGCTGTGAAGCAGTTGGTCCAGTTCTGTATGGAGTTGTTGGGAAGTCTCACTTCTTCACTCTTTTATTCAGTCTTCCATTCGCTAGTCACTGAGTGTCTACTTTGTCAGGCACTGCGCTTGGAATACACAGAGAGAAATAGAAACAGCCACTGCTCTTAGGAAACTGCACTCCACTGTGAAAGATGAATGTTAATAAAATTCAGACATCCTATTAAGTGAGAAAGTTTTTGCACAGAAACCTGGCACAGAGTAAGGGGTCACAGCAGGTCAGGGTGATGATATGTAACACCTAGTTCATGTCTAGTGGACACCTAAAACATAATACGAATGAAACACCTTCTAACCTGCCTGTCCCCGTCTCAGTAAATAGCTCCATTCTTGCAGTCACATGAGCCAACAAATCTTGGCATCATTCTTCACTACTGCCTTTGTTGTGTACCAAATGTCCAACACTCTTCACCGTCTCCACTGCTACCATTCTGGTCTGTTTCTCACGTGGATTATTGCAGTAGCCTCCTAGTGACTTTTTTCTTGTTTTCACTCTTGTTTCTTTTCTGCACAGAAGCCAGAGTGATTTCTTTGCTTAAAACTCCCCAGTGGCTTCTCATCTTATTCAGAGAATAAGGTAGAAATTGTTATAATGTCCTGAGTGTTTAAGCCCTATATGATATGCTTTGCTTGCCACTGTAGCCTCTCTGTCTTTGTCTCCTACTGTTCCCCTCCTGCCCCTTTGCAGACACTCCAGCCTCCTTAATGTTCCTGGGACATAAGCACAGACCATACTTATGATTTCACACTGATTGTTTCCTCTCTCTGGGATATCTTCTCCTAGCTGTCTGGCTCACTCACACCCTTCTTTAAGGCCTCTACTCAAGTGTTGCTCATTCAGAGGGGACTTATTTGACTTTCTTATGAAAATGTGTATCCCTATAGCACTTTATTCCTCTTAACTAGTTTCTTTTGGCTTCATAGGACTTACCACTACTTAACAACTCATATATATGTTTATTTCATCATTGTCTACCTTCCTATCTCCTAGAATGTAAGTTTCATAAAAACAACCACCTTGCTTGTCTTATCCTCGCAGCCTTGAACATAGTTGGCCCTCAATAAATATTTGAACAATGTATTAGACAATAAATGATGCAGTACGAAAAAGTACCACATCAGCCCCAAAGCTTGGAGAAATGGGCACAATTCCGATGACATTCAGCACGCTTCATCTCTCCTGCTGTTGTCACTGTCCTTCCTACTATCTGTCATTCACACATCTTACTTTGCACAAAACTGTAGGAGACGGAAAGCAGCTTACGCCCTGCATACTGGCATTTTCCCTAGAAGCCCCTCTCCCTGCTGATTCTCCTGAATCTGGTTCACTGGGGCTAGTTCAAAGCATCAATCAAGCCAGGTGTGTCTAGTCATGTCGCCGCTTTCCCCACACCTGGTTGTTTCAGAAGACATGTTTTCCAGTAACCAGGGCTTCACCCAATAAAGAGGTTTACCCTTTTCTTGGAATTGTGTGGCCTGAAAGAACAAACATGTGAGGGAAGAAATTCAGGTCATTGAAACTTGGGCTACTAGCATTTTCTCCATAATGCCCCTCTTGACGACAACCTCTTGTACTTAGCGTATGTGTAGAGTTCAGAAAAATATGAATGTACTTATTTACCATCATTAATGAATGCTTCATTTGTCAAAATATCCCCGAGATTTCTTTTAACCAGCAGCTTTCCCTTGTACGCATAGGACAGAATTTGGGTCATAGATGCTCTGACTGCTGTTTGTCAGGGGCACTTGATGATGTCATGAGGAAGGCCTGGCTTTCGGAAAGTTACACCTGAATTTTTTTTTTTTTTTTTTTGCTGTCTTGGATTCTTTTTTATTTTTTAAAACTTAGATTTTAAGTTCAGGAATTTATGTGGAGGTTTGTTACACAGGTAGATTCATGTCATGGGAATTTGCTGTACAGATTATTTAATCACCCAGGTTCTAAGCCTAGTACCCAATAGTTATTTTTTTCTGCTCCTGTCTTCTTTCCCATCCTCCACCCTCAAGTAGGCCTCAGTCAGAGCTGAATTCTGATTCCAGCTTGGCCACACTTAGACACAGGCAAGCCCCTGAACCTCTCTGTGCTTTGGTTTCTTTGCTTATAAACACCTAAGCCATGGGGCTGTTGTGAGGACTATTTGAGTTGTGCTTATCTCAGTGCCCAGCACAGAACATTTCCTCAACAGATAGTAGCTTCAGGGCTGGAAAACATGTCTTATGTGTAAAGGCAATTCAGCAGTCTTGTTCATATGTTTTTGTATGCAAGTTCCTAATCTGTGTTACCTCTGTGGTTATATACATCATGGGGATTTGTAGCTTCATTTTATAAGAAGCTAATATTGGTCATGCTTACCTACTATTCTTGGGTGGCTGCCAGAGGCTGCTTTGAAATGGCCATCTCTTGCAGTATTTTCCATGCCTACAGATTCTGAGTTTTCATCTTCTGCTTCCATTTGCTGTCAGAGCATTATTTTAGCTTCTAACCTTGCAGTTTCTAATCGTATCTTCGTTTTTCCACCACAAGGAAAGACTGTTGAGAATGAGGGTGAAGGACAGAGATAACACGTAAAGCTATACCTGCTTCGCTGCTGGATTTCCTTCCCTCTTATTTTGATGTGGCACTGTTTGATTTCACCGTTTGCAAATTGCTTCTTGCTTTCCATCTTGCCAAATTTTTGATTATTTTCTTCTTTCAGAAAGAAAAAATCCACCAACAACCAAACTTCATTTCCCATATGGTTTAATTGAATTGGTGGCTGCTGTCAAAATAAAATAAAAACCTCACAAATAAGAAGGCTGCAAATCCTAGGATTAAGCTACTTCTGAAGTTTTAAAAATTCTTCCAGGCATTTATTTGCAAATTGTACCCATTTGCATATTTTATAAGCATAATACAAAAATGTATTATTTATCAGGTGGTCTAGGCATGCTTGTAGAAAATGAATGGTTGCAAACTCAATCTTCATTTTAAAATCCTCATTGTAAATCATCCCTTTAACTTGCAGGAAAAGTGGGTTTTTCAACCCTACTTTTTCTGATCTACTTAAAATACTCTAGACTCCACACTGTGAGCAACTTTTCTTAAGTGTATGGGTCTACAATTTGAAGAGAATGGCTGCCAACATGTAAACTCACAAAATTTGAAATAATTTATAGTGTCAAAACTGCCTGGTCTCACTGGCCCCATTTTATCTGGTCATCCCAGTGACACCCATCTCAAATATATTCTTGCAAGTTTTCAGGCAGAAGTATGATTTCACACTTAGGCAATTTGAGTTGTCAATGACTCAGGACTTGGGAGTTTCATGCCTCGATAACTTGTCTAACCTTTATGTATAGGCGAGAGAAGAAATCTGATTTGAGCTTTTGCTGGTTCCTGTTGATTTTAGACTCCATGGGCCAGAAAATACCACGTCCCCAGATCTGAGGCAATTGATGAGTGAATAATCATTACAGTAGAAAATAAAATTAAATGAGCATGCCATTGTTTGTCTTTTTGCTGCTTGTATTTTATGATTCAGTATCCATTTTAAGTAAGACATTTTTAAGTGAAATATATTGAAGTATCCATTTTAAGTAAATATGATAACTGTATTTTAATATCATTGCCCCCTTTGGAGAAATGTAACTATAGGCAGAAAATGCTGCAAATAGAGGAGCATTTGCTAAAGCATCTATCAAGGCTTCTTTTTGTAAGGTAGTTTTCTTCAGGTACCAGGGGACACTTTTGTCCCTGTAGAGCCACATGATGTTTTCTGGACTATAAGGAGACAGACACTGTTACAATGACAAAGTGCTGGTCCTCTTTTCTGGCTCCCTTCTGCTTGCCTGCCATATTACATATCTGAACACTGGTTTGTATCCTGTGGACACAGCCTATACTATGGGATTAAAGAGGTTCTTCTCCTCCTGTTGTAATTTAAATAACAATAACTGCCTGATCTTCTAATAGGTGCTAGGATGTTTTCAGTTCTAAAGGCTTGAAGATAAATAAAACACATAACTTGCCCTCAAGGATTTACAAGAAATGTAAATATATTGTACATGAATTGTAGCATAGTGCTATTTGTGCTTTGATACTTGAAATTTTGGTTAAAGGTTGAAAATGGTGAGACAGAAGATGAGGAAAATGGATTGTTCTGAATGGATTCACCTTTTTAAAACCTAAAACTGACTGTTTGGTTTCTTATATTATGAAAGAAATAAAAATCATTGTTTAATCATACAAAGATAATATCCCCTTTCTCCACCATTTCATATGGGATGTTGGATTCAGCTGTAGCTGACTAAGCAGTGGCTTCAACAAGTGCAGTGTGGTAGTTGCTGTTTCTTTGTCATACAAAAAACTAGAGGGAGGCAGTTGCCGTATTTGCTTAGTGGCTTAAAGACACCAGAGCTGAGGTCTCTGTGATCCTTTCTGGATTACCAGAAGACTCCACAGCATCATAAAGATGGAAAGAGGAGAAATGGAAATATACTATTGTAAAGTTTTTTTTAATTGCGTTTTAGGTTTTGGGGTACATGTGAAGAACATGCAAGATAGTTGCATAGGTACACACGTGGCAGTGTGATTTGCTGCCTTCCTCCCCTTCAACTATATCTGGCATTTCTCCCCATGCTATCTCTCCCCAACTCCCCACCCCCTGCGGTCCCTCCCCTATTCCCCCCAACCAACACCTGTGTGTAATACTCTCCTCCCTGTGTCCATGTGTTCTCATTGTTCAACACCCTCCTATGAGTGAGAACATGCGGTATTTCATTTTCTGTTCTGTGTCAGTTTGCTGAGAATGATGTTCTCCAGGTTCACCCATGTCCCAACAAAAAATACAAACTCATTGTTTTTGGTGGCTGCATAATATTCCATGGTGTATATGTGCCACATTTTCCCAGTCCAGTCTATCATCGATGGGCATTTGGGTTGGTTCCAGGTCTTTGCTATTATAAACAGTGCTGCAATGAACATTCGTGTGCATGTGTCCTTATAGTAGAACGATTTATAGTCCTTTGCATATATACCCAGTTATGGGATTGCTGGGTCAAATGGAATTTCTATTTCTAGGTCCTTGAGGAATCACCACACTGTCTTCCACACCAGCAGTGTAAAAGTGTTCCTATTTCTCCACATCCTCTCCAGCATCTGCTGTCTCCAGATATTTTAATGATCACCATTCTAACTGGTGTGAGATGGTATCTCAATGTAGTTTTGATTTGCATTTCTCTAATGACTGGTGATGATGAGCATTTTTTCATATGTTTGTTGGCCTCATATATGTCTTCTTTTGTAAAGTGTCTGTTCATATCCTTTGCCCATTTTTGAATGGGCTTGTTTGTTTTGTTCTTGTAAATCTGTTTGAGTTCTTTGTAAATTCTGGGTATCAGCCCTTTGTCAGATGGGTAAACTGCAAAAATGTTTTCCCATTCTGTTGGTTGCCAATTCACTCTAATGACTGTTTCTTTTGCCATGCAGAAGCTGTGGAGTTTGATTAGGTCCCATTTGTCTATTTTGGCTTTTGTTGCCAATGCTTTTGGTGTTTTGGTCATGAAGTCCTTGCCTACTCCTATGTCCTGAATGGTTTTGCCTAGATTTTCCTCTAGGGTTTTTATGGTGTTAGGTCTTATGTTTAAGTCTTTAATCCATCTGGAGTTAATTTTAGTGTAAAATGTCAGTAAGGGGTCCAGTTTCTGCTTTCTGTACATAGTTAGCCAGTTTTCCCAACACCATTTATGAAACAGGGAATCCTTTCCCCCTTGCTTGTTTTTGTCAGGTTTATCAAAGATCATATGGTTGTAGATATGTTGTGTTGCCTCTGAGGCCTCTGTTCTGTTCCATTGGTCTATATCTCTGTTTTGGTACCAGTACCATGCTGTTTTGATTACTGTAGCCTTGTAGTATAGTATGAAGTCCAGTAGTGTGATGCCTCCCGCTGTGTTTTTTTTTTTTTACTTAGAATTTACTTGGCTATGAGGGCTCCCTTGTGGTTCCATATGAAGTTTAAGGTGGTTTTTTCCTGTTCTGTGAAGAAGGTCATTGGTAGTTTAATGGGGATAGTGTTGAATCTGTAAACTACTTTGAGCAGTATGGCCATTTTCATGATATTGGTTCTTCCTAACCATGAACATGGAATGTTTCTCCATCTGTTTGTGTCCTCTCTTATTTATTGAGCAGTGGTTTGTAGTTCTCCTTGAAGAGGTCCTTTGTGTTCCTTGTTAGTTGTATTCCTAGGTATTTTATTCTCTTTATAGCATTTTTGAATGGCAGTTTGTTCTTGATTTGGCTCTCTTTAAGTCTATTATTGGTGTATAGGAATGCTTGTGATGTTTGCACATTGATTTTATATCCTGAGATTTTGCTGAAGTTGCTTATCACATTCAGGAGTTTTTGGGCTGAGATGATGGGGTCTTCTAGATATACTATCATGTCATCTGCAAATAGAGACAATTTGGCTTCCTCCTTTCCTACTTGAATACCCTTTATTTCTTCTTCTTGCCTGATTGCTCTAGCTAGAACTTCCAGTACTATATTGAATAGGAGTGGTGACAGAGGGCCTTCTTGTCTAGTGCCAAATTTCAAAAGGAATGCTTTCAGGTTTTGCCCATTCAGTATGATATTGGCTGTTGGTTTGTAGTAAATAGCTTTTATTACTTTGAGATACGTTCCATCAATACTGAGTTTATTGAGGGTTTTTAGAATAAAGGGCTGTTGAATTTTGTCAAAGGCCTTCTCTTCATCAATTGAGATAATCGTGGTTTTTGTCTTTGGTTCTGTTTATGTGGTGAATTACATTTATAGACGGGTATGTTGAACCAGCCTTGCATCCCCAGGATGAATCCTACTTGATCATGGTGGATAAGCTTTTTGATGTGCTGTTGCAATCGGCTTGCCAGTCTTTTATTGAAGATTTTTGCATCTATGTTCATCATGCATATTGGCCTGAAGTTTTCTTTTCTTGTTGAGTCTATGCCGGGTTTTGGTATCAGGATGACATCGGTCTCATAAAATAATTTGGGAAGGATTCCCTCTTTTTGGATTATTTGGAATAGTTTCAGAAGGAATGGTAACAGTTCATCTTTGTGTGTCTGGTAGAATTCGGCTGTGAACCCAACTGGATGTGGGCTTTTTTTGTGTGGTAGGCTCTTAATTGCTGCCTCAACTTCAGATCTTGTTATTAGTCTATTCATGGTTTAGACTTCTTCCTGGTTTAGGCTTGGGAGGAGGCAAGTGTCCAGGAATTTATCCATTTCTTCCAGGTTTACTAGTTTATGTGCATAGAGTTGTTTGTAATATTCTCTGGTGATGGTTTGAATTTCTGTGGAATCTGTGGTGATTTCCCCTTTATCATTTTTTATTGCATCTATTTGGTTATTCTCTCTCTTTTTTTTTTATTAATCTGGCTAGTGGTCTACTTTGTTGATCTTTTTGAAAAACCAGCTCCTGGATTTATTGATTTTTTGAAGGGTTTTTGTGTCTCTATCTCCTTCAGTTCTGCTCTGATCTTAGTTATTTTTTGTCTTCTGCTAGGTTTTGAGTTTTTTTTATTTTGTTTCTCTGGCTCTTTCAATTTTGATGATACGGTGTCAATTTTGGATCTCTCCTTTCTTCTCATATGGGCACTTATTGCTATATATTTTTCTCTAGGGTCTGCTTTAAATGTGTCCCAGAGATTCTGGTATGTTGTGTCTTCGTTCTTGTTGGTTTTGAAGAACTTCTTTATTTCTGCCTTCATTTCATTGTTTATCCAGTCAACATTCAA